ATGACTTTATTCTCGTACGACTTTATTCTCATAATATTATGACTATTCTTGTAATAGTACGATTTTATTCTCATGATATTATGACTTCAATTTCATAATATTATGACTTTATTCTCATAATATTATGACTTTATTCTCATAATATTATGACTTTACACTCATACGACTATATTCTCATAATATTATGACTTTATTCTAGCAATATTATGACTTTATTCTTGTAATATTATGACTTTATTCTTGTAATACTATGATTTTATTCTTGAATGACTTTATACTTGCAATATTATGACTTTATTTTGTAATACTATGACTTTATTCTCATACAACTTTATTCTCATCATATTCTGACTTCATTATCGTTCAACTTTATTCTCGTAATATTATGACTTTATTCTCGTACGACTTTATTCTCATAATATTTCAAAATTATTCACGTAATTTTATGACTTTTTCCTCATAATATATATTTTTTCTTAGCGTGGCCCTAATGCTCCGTCATATGAAAGTGTGCCATTAAGCAAAATATTTAATAAACTAAAAGGTGAATTTTAATTAAACTATCAAAAAGTAATGATTGGATGTACATCTACACTAGATTACCTTTGAAGTCAGTAGATATGAAGATGGCTGCATCTGGTAGCAACATTATCAAATCTAAAAATGCATGTCACTTAGTCAGGTTTAAAGGTTCTGAACTAAAATTTGTTTTGGTGGTAGTTGAGAGTCATCCCCAACACATATTCTGAGGGCTAACTGATCACACAAGATTCAAGATTACATTTTTTTAATCATTCATGGAGGTGAGCAAAGACCATGACATAGTTTTTTTTAGATTATGTGATTATTTTATTTGTGTCACAGTCAGATTTAAAATCCTTAATGTACCATGGCCCCTGCTGTGCCAAAGAGTAACAACTGTTTGAAAAATACCTCTTTAAATATTTGCTCTTTTTGCTGGGAAACTGTCTAGAAGTTGCACAATCCTAGAAAAAGAGAAAAACAAATTTTCTTTGCCAGAAGTTTACTAAACTAAAATGCAATAAGTAATAATCTGTATTTAATCTGTATCTGGTTTGCAGAAATTCAAATCACACACCGTCTTTCATGCCAGAGTTTTTGACAGATCATTGATGTATGACAGTCATCTTAGTCAAACCTTGTAAAACCCTGAGTACACAATTTCGTTCCACCTCATGTACCACATGTCCTGCAAATGACAATGAAAAACCTTGACCTTAAATGACACAATCTCAGCTGTGATCTGTTCAGCATGACTCACAGCTACTGGCACATCAAAGTTTAGCTCATCTTCTACAATATTGTCTGAAATCGAGCCACTCGTGTTTTCAATGGTTCAGTTAGTTGTGCAGCCATCTTGAATTGGTTTGACACCAAATGTTAATAAGTTGTAGTTGTTTTATGAGATATTTTGCTATCCATTATGACACCAGTAGTTAATGGCACAGTTTAAACAGCACTGTTGTGTGATTTTTTAGCTGTCAGAGCTTAGACTGAGGTCAGCTTCTGATGCACCAAATCTTAGCTCAACATCTGTACAATTGGCTAAGTATGGCCAGTTTTTGTTTCCAACAAATATGTGACTGTGGTGGACATCTTGATTAGAATTTACTCGAAATATTTATCCATTTTAAATTGACATCCAGTGATTATCTTATGAAAGTTTAATTAAAATACACCCTGTGGTTCATCTGAAATTTTGATACACACGCACAGGGTTGACTAGATAATACCATATTTCTCAAATATTTTTTAGCGCCTAAAATGAAAAGTTGGGATGACTATTGGGTAATACCACAACAAATTTTAGCTCAATATCTGTTAAAGTGGATGAGTTATAGCTATTTGTGTGTTTTCTAAGGTGGCTTAGCTGTAGCAATTATAATAATAATACTTTATTTATAAAGCCCTTTAAAACAACCACAGCTGCCACAAAGTGCTGTACATATAAAATCAAGAACATTTAAACACATAAAAACAGTTGTTAAAACATTAAGATCAATAAAAGTAATAAAAACAGTGCAGAGTAAATTCAGTGTGTGCTAAAAGCCAGGGAGTAAAAATGTGTTTTTAAAAGAGTTTTAAAACTGGACAGTGAAGGGGCTTGTCTGATGAGAAGAGGGAGATCATTCCACAGTCTTGGAGCAGCAACAGAAAAAGCTCTGTCCCCTCTGAGCCTCCGCTTAGACCTCGGCACCTCCAGGAGCAGCTGATCAGCTGATCTGAGGCACCGAGCAGGAGAGTATGGGTGAAGCAGCTCAGAGAGGTAGGATGGAGCAAGACCATTTAAACTTTTAAAAACAAATAAAAGAATCTTAAAATGAACTCTAAAATGAACAGGCAGCCAGTGGAGTGAAGCAAGAGTGGGGGTGATGTGCTCCCTTTTTTGAACTCCAGTTAGAAGCCGAGCAGCAGCGTTCTGGACCAACTGGAGACGTCTGAGGGAGGACTGGCTGACTCCAAGGTAAAGAGCGTTACAGTAATCCAGCCGAGAGGTGACGAAGGCATGGATTACTGTTTCCAGCTGCTGTTTTGTAAGGATAGTCTTTACCTTAGCCAGCTGTCTGAGGTGATAAAAACTGGTCTTGACCACCGCTCCAATCTGGGACTCTAATTTAAAATCACTGTCCATTTTAAAACCAAGTTAGAAATAGTTTTCTTTACATGTGGTGCCAGAGGGCCCAGATCAACAGGGCAAGGTTCACAAGAGCCACTAGGACCAAACACCATCACTTCTGTTTTCTTTTCATTGAAATTTAAGAAGTTTAAAGACATCCAGGCTTTGATGTCTTCAAGACACAACAGAAGTGGCCTAATTGAGGGGGCATCTTTCTTTTTAAGTGGCATATAGATCTGACTATCATCAGCGTAACAATGAAAAAAGATCCCATGCTTTCTAAGGATTGATCCCAATGGAAGCAGGTAAAGGGAGAAAAGCAGGGGACCTAAAATAGAGCCCTGTGGAACCCCAAAACACAGAGGAGCAGTGGAGGATTCAGACCCAGCTATGTTGACAGACATGGTTCTGTCTGCCAGATAGGACCTAAACCAGCTCAGTGCAGTACCACAAATACCCACTTGGCGCTGTAAGCGTGATATTAAAATGTTGTGGTCCACGGTATCAAAGGCAGCTGTTAGGTCGAGCAGGACAAGAACCACATGTTCACCAGAATCATTAGCCATAAAAATATCATTAAAAACTCTGAGTAGAGCTGATTCTGTGCTGTGGTGAGTTTTGAAGCCAGACTGAAAAACCTCCAGGATATTGTGCTCATCCAGAAAACATTTGACCTGTGAATATACAATTTTTTCTAAAATTTTTTAAATAAAAGGCAGCTTGGAGATGGGCCTAAAATTAGCCAAGACAGTTTGGTCTAGGCTAGGCTTTTTAAGCAGGGGCTGCACCACAGCATGTTTAAAACTTATTGGGACAACACCTGAGGACAGACTGCTATTGATAACAGCAAGAATCACCTGCCTGATGCTGGAAAACACCTCTTTTAAAAGACGAGGGGGGACAAGGTCACGAGGAGAACCTGATGGTCTAATATGGCCGACCACATCCTCTAAAAGGGTCAGGGTCACTGGTTCAAATCTATCAAACACAGCCAGGCAGGGGACCAAGCAGGAGGGGTCAAAAGCAGGGGCTGAAAGGGCCCTTGTGGTAACAACCTTATTTATAAAAAACTGCAGGAAGTCATTACAAAGTTCAGTAGAGGCTTCCAGACAGACAGGTTGTGGGGCTTTCAGGACAGAGTCAATAGTTTTAAAAAGGACATGTGGATTATTATGATTGGACACAATAATATCTGACAAGTGTTGTTTTTTGGCCTCTTTAACAGTGTTCTGGTACTGACGTTGACAGTCCTTTAAAATGTAAAATGAAACCTCCAGTTTATCCTTTTTCCACCTCCGTTCAGCTCTGCGGCACTCCTGTCTGGCTGCAATAGTTTTTTCATTAAACCAGGGTTCAGATCTGGCTTTAGGCCGCACCAGTTTAGATGGAGCTACACAGTCCAAAATGGTTTGACAGGAGGAGTCAAACCAGGAGCTCAGCTGTTCGGTGTCAGCAGCAGAGCCAGAGGGAGCACAGAACTGTTCAAAGGCAGCAGAGAACTGGCCAGCAGTGGAAGGGTTAAAAACTCTACGTCGCTGGGCAGGAGCGCAGGATTTAACTGGAGCACAGGACAAACCAACATCAAATAAAACAGGCCTATGGTCAGAAATCACATTATCATATAGTTCCAGGTCATTCACAGACAAGCCGTGAGAGAGAACCAGGTCCAACGTGTGTCCATATTCATGTGTGGGACCAGCCACCCACTGAACCAGGTTAAATGAGTCAGTGAGGCTGAGAAAGTCCTTCACCAGTGGTTTCTCTGGGCAGCATACTTGCATGTTAAAATCCCCAACAATAAGCACTCGATCATAGTTTATCATTATTCCAGTCAGGAAATCAGAAAAGTCATTCAAGAAATCCTTATTATATTTAGGGGTTCTGTAGATGACAGCGCACAGCACGGGGTGTGAGCGACCCACCTCAAAAAAAGTCACCTCGAAGCTGGAGAATGAAGATGGTGCAGAGCATTGCTTGCATTTTATCTTGAAAGATGATGACTCCAAAAGTTAATCAGTTGGAGATGCACATCTAATTAATATTTTCTGAGAGTTAGTTTGTCAAATATTTTGCTAGCAGACAGGCAAACGAACAAACTCACACATGAGCAAACACAGTATTTCCTTTTTGTTTGCTGTTTAAATCTCTACAGAGTTGAAAAGTAAGATTTTTTTTGTCTTTTTGAACAAACAGTCCAAATTCTGGTTTGGGACTTTCCACCCACTGAATCAATATTGCATCAAAATGTTGCTGAAATCCAAACTATTGACTATGACAACAACAGCACAGATGTTTTACTAAGAAATCTAATAATTAACAGAAGAGCAGGTTAAAAGTGTAATTTTCAGTGGCTGGTGGATTCAAAGACTCATCATGAGGATCCTCATGGCTCTGCAGCTCAGCCTCTGTGCTCTGGCTTTCACTCTGACACTCACTGGTGGAGGACTGTACGTATCATTTCATATTCTGCTGCAACAGCAGCTGCTGTCTGACACTTTATTTTACATGATGTGTGTTTATGTACCAGGGGAGCAGTACTTCCTGAACCACCAGCAGTAGACTGTGTGTGGAGCCTCTGGTCCGAGTGGAGTCCTTGTGATCCCTGCACAAAAAGCAGGGTACGTTTGTTAAAGCCAAAAGCCAGCAGCCATGAAGCTCCATTTTTCTGTAGAAAATGAATCAGATTTAAAGTAAAATTTAGCTGTTTATGTGTCTGAGAACTTGATTGTCTTGGCTCTACCAAAGTTAAGTCAGGTCCTCAGGACAGATAAAATAAATAAATAAAAATCAAAATTGTTGAAACATTTCGTCTTTAATCCAAAAAACTTCTTCAGTTTGAGGAGCTACAACAATCTTATAAACAGCACCTTCTCATAGTGGATCAACCAGTTTGTTGTTGACATCCAGAACTAGATGTTCACATGCTAAAGGAGGATTATCAGCATAACAACTGACCGTTAGTGCCCTGATGGTCAATGAACAAACATACAGTTTGTTAATGTTTGTTGCAGCTCCTCCGACTGACCAAGTCTTTTGGAGAAAAGATAAAATGTTTCAATTTTTGTTTTTTTATTTTTAATCTGTCCAGAGGACCTGACTTAACTTTGTTTGATTTTTCTACCTGGATAAATGAACATGAACTTTGATGTTTTGAACCACTTTGGCTATGGCTGCCTCAGAGGAGTCGACAGGGAAGAGGGCAAACTCCAGAAACCATCTTATCACCATAAAACTCATTGGTCCACTATGTGAGTGTGCTACTTATGGGAATGAATTTGTTGTGACTGATGAAGTCCTTTGGATGAAAGATGAAACGTTTCTTATAGTGTTTCAATTTGCTATATATTTGCTATATATGTATATATATTCAATTCAATTCAATTCAATTCAAAAATACTTTATTAATCCCAGAGGGAAATTATTTTGTTGTTGTAACTCGTTATCCTCATTTCATTAAGAGATGTTATAGATACTGATGCTGTAGACAGGAAGGATCTCTTGTAAAGGTCCATCCCACAGTGGATCCTAAGAAACTGGCTGCAGATGCCCTCCGATCCGTCCACCCAGACTCGGCTGGCCTCTTGGTTCCCCTGGACTGTAGGACCGCCCAAATGCTGGGCAGAAATCCTCCCAGAGCGATGGCCACTCCTCCCATAAGTCTGCCGAGCTCCTCCTTGCTGCGGACAGCCAACTGTAGGTGCTGAAGGACGATCCTGTCCTTCCACTGTCATGAGCCATGTTTCCTGCCAGTTCCAGGATCTCAGTGGTCAGGCACTCGAGCACAGCTGGCAGGTAGATGAGAATGCGTCCATAGAACATCCTTTTCAACTCATTTGAGAGTTGGGGCCATAGTTGAGATATTATTTGAGCTTTTGAGATGTTAATCAGCTGCTGTTGTTGTAGAAAATTGCCTTGTTGTCATGGTTACGCATCATAACAAATGTCCAAAACTAAAAAAAGTTTCAGTAAAATCCTTCCAGCTGCACAGCATTCGATACCAGAGAAAACAATCATCCAAAAAATGTGACTTACATCCAGAAAAAGAGGAATTAAACTTTCCAAAAGCAAAATCTCAGAATGAAAGTAACAGAGCTGCTCCAACATGCAGCCACCTTGAGCGGCGCAATTCTAGAAAATTCTAGAACCCTGACTGAAACTCTTCAAACAGAGTATTTCTTTGTAGATGTTCACTCAACTGACCTGCAACTATTTTCTCTAGAATTTTTTAGATGAAAGTTAGGTTAGATATAGGTCTATAGTTGGCCAGAATTTCTGAATCAAGGTCAGACTTCTTAAGTAAAGGTTTAATTACAGCAACCTTAAAGTGCTGTGGTACATAACCATTCATTAAAGACAAATTAAGTACTTTGTAGATCCGAAATGTGGACATTAATTAGGGGAAATTCCTCTTTAAACAGTCTGGTTGGGATGGGATCTAGCAGACATGTGGATGGTTTGGATGAGGTTATTATTTTTGACAATTCAGAGAGCTCAACAGGACAAAAACTGTCCAAACATAAATCAGGCTCTAATGAAATTTTTAAAGTTGTCTCATTTGACAGATAGTAGAAGCAAGGATGGTTTGAATTTTTTCTCTAATTGAAATAATTTTATTTATAAAGAATCTCATGAAGTCATCACTACTTATAGTTGTAGAGATACATGGTTCAACAGAAATGAGACTTTTAATTAGTCTAGCAATATTACTAAACAGAAACCTAGGGTTATTTTTATTCTCCCCGATTAAAGATGAGTTATATAAAGTTCTAGCTTTACAGAGACCTTTTTTATATGTTAGCAGACTATCTTTCCAAGTTAAATAAAATTCTTCAACATTTTTTTTTTTTTCATTTAGCCTTTATTTATCCAGGTTAGTCTCATTGAGCC